TTCTTCTGGTTCGTCGCCCCCATCCTCTACTACAAGAACGTCTGGTACTCGCAATACATGCCCATCTCCACGCGTGGGTCCTACGACAATCGCGGCAAGACATACAACGTCACGCGTATCCTCAAACCCGACGCTACCATCGACATTGAGGCGTACAAAGCGTATTCACCGCTTTTCATTTCGACGACGTTCGCGATTAGCTATGGGTTGAGCTTCGCGAGTATTACGTCGACTTTGACGCATACGTTCCTGTTCTTCCGTAAGCAGATTTGGGTGCAGAGTAGGCGGGCAATGCATGAGCAACCGGATATCCATGCTCGTCTTATGTCTCGTTATCGCCAAGTCCCTGATTGGTGGTATGCGGTCATCTTCTGTAAGTCTTGCGTTCGTTTGATTTGTCTCGAGACACGTTTGGCTTATGGTGCCATTTTTTCGCAGTGACCATGTTCGTGTTCGGTATAATCTCCATCGAAGTGTACCACACCCAGATGCCTGTATGGGCATTCATTCTCTGCCTCATCATCGGTACGATAACTGAATTTGATGCATTTTTGACCGCCGTCTAACGTTTATCGTTTTCTAGCATTCGTCTACGTCATCCCTATCGGAATGATCCAAGCCATCACGAATCAACAAGTCGGTCTCAACGTCATCACCGAGCTCATCATCGGGTACGCTCTCCCAGGTCACCCCGTCTCCATGATGCTTTTCAAGACATGGGGCTACATCACCATGGCGCAAGCCCTCACATTCACATCGGACTTCAAACTCGGCCATTACATGAAGGTCCCCCCTCGTCCGATGTTCTGGTGCCAAGTCGCTGCGACGATGGTTGCAGGGACGGTGCAGTTGGGTGTACAGGCCTGGATGTTCACGAATATCGAGGAAATGTGCGCGCCGGATCAGAAGGATGGTTTCATCTGTCCCAGTACGCAGGTATTTGGGACGGCGTCCATCATCTGGGGTGTTATCGGACCGGGGCTGCAGTTCTCGCATGGCCAGGTGTATTATGGTTCGTCTTCACTCGTTATTCATCTTTTGCTTTCGATAACAGTATATTTCTTTGCAGGCCTCGTCTTCTTCTTCCTCCTCGGCGCGATCCTTCCGGCCATCGCATACCTGATCCACCTCAAGTGGCCTAACTCCTTCATCCGTTACGTCAAGTAAGTTCACCACATCCCTCCGCATTCATGGCTCCCGTCTAACATAACTTTCCATCCAGCTTCCCGGTCATCTTCTCTGGCACGGGTCTCATTCCACCAGCCACAGCCGTCAACTACGTCTCCTGGGCTATCGTCGGATTCATCTTCCAATACGTCATCCGCAGGCGTCACTTCTCCTGGTGGACTAAGTACAACTACGTGCTCTCCGCCGCACTCGACTCCGGCGTCGCCATCAGCATCGTCCTCATCTTCTTCTGCCTTCAGTTCCCTCAGAATGGGAATATTGGCCTTAACACGATACAGGCTTGGTGGGGGAACACGGTGTACTTGAATACGGTCGACTTTGATAAGGCGCATGCGCGTTTGAGGTTCTTGACGCCTGAGAACCCTACTTTCGGGTATGTTTCGTTATTCTTTCGACGTGTTCATCTTACTCATCGGATTTGTGACAGGCCAACTCACTGGTAGATTAAGTTGTTCATCATTACTTGGGTAGAATCATAATCGTGGTAATATCTGCGTTAAACACTTTTTGTACGTGTATAGGCCGAGAAATACTATATGTGCTTTTCCTCGCCGCCCGACGCAACAGTGACATACTGACAACCTACGTGCTTGGGTAATTTCCGCAGTTCGCGCGCGATTTCATGTTCCGAGTCTTTGGGACTGCGTTATCCCCTAATGACATGTCGACAACGGTACGTCGGATTCCATTCGCCGAAGGAAGCTTTGAGCGCATCATTCACCCTGTCACGGTAAGCTTTCCATGTACGACAGGCCAGTGCATCGAAGCTCGGATGAGATGAGATGCGGGGCGTACACACCGAAAGGGTCGTTTGCATTGCATTCGTTTTGGTCCGTAAAGCTTACGAAGATTCCTAGCACCTCGGAATTCCACGCTATGTCCGATATTATTGCATTTGCCGTCAATTTGTTATTCTCAGGACTCTAAGCTGTGATACATATGGATATGAATGGGCGAGAAAACATTCCACGAGCATCTCAGCACAATGCGACCGAATATTTGACCGCTTATTTGACCATTTAGTGAACCCGATTCTACACCGACCCATTCACGCCTTTAGAATTTCCTCCAGCTCCCAGAGCCTCTCAGCAGTTTCCTTGTAACACACCTCCGGACTGATCCACGGTCTTCCCAGCAACAACTCCCCCTCCTTCGAGTCCGTGCCATAGTGCTCCCAAGGCTCTCCCCCGCCGCCATATTTGATGCGAGCGAGTTTAGCGGGGTCAGAGGCGAATGCTTTGCGCAGAATAGAGACGACTTGGGAGTTGAAGATGTGGAAGCCGACGCAAAAGATGCGCTGGTTACGTGCGGAGGGGTCTTCAAGAGCGCGCACGTGCAGGAGTGCGGCATCGCGGACGTCTAGAGTGACCTGGTGTGTTTGATACATATATTGGATTCAGTTCCTTCTTCGCGTGAAAGGAAACGCACCGGTGTGTGTGTTGGTGGGACCGGGTCCGACGAGCTGCCGTTTATCAAGTTGTACATTTCGATCTTCAGGTCCGCCATGCTCTTCACGGGGTGTCTGGGTGGACCAACAAGAATGGCTAGGACGAGAGTGAGTGTCAGAATTGCTGAAACGATATGAAAAATCCATCGTAAGAACTCACGTGGACAAATCGTCGTAATGTAAAATTTGAGCTCTTTGTCGTCCCATGCAGCACGTTCCGCGAGGACCTTCGAAGCACAGTACACGTAGCCAGGATTTTCGGACTTGGCAGCTTCCTCATACGCTGAGATGGAACGATGAATAAAGCTTTCGGCATCATGGGAAAGTTATACATACTAGCAGGGTTCCAGTCGTTGCGGGTGTATGTGTACCCGACGTTTGCGAGTTTCGCGAGGTCAACAATTGCCGCAAATGACGACGTGATAACGACGTGTTGGACGCTAGGCTCCTTTTTGGCCGCCTCAATAATGGCTTTCGTTCCTTCAATGGCGGGTTTCAGCATATCATTTTCGTTGTCCTTGAAAACAACTGCGAAATTTGAGGTACATAATCCGGGATGCTCGGCGAGTTGAGAGAGCAACGCACAAATAAATGGTGAAGCGGTGTGCGCGATGTACTTCACGCCTTTGATCGCCTCATCGAATGAATTCGGAGACGTAAGGTCCGCAATGAACCCTGGAGGTACCAATACGGCATGAATTGTCTTGAAAATGATATATGCCAGTACGAACTCACATTGAACTTTCCCTTTGTATTTAGGGTTAAAACTTTCCCAATCGTTGATCTTCTGCTGCGAGCGCGCAGTTCCACGAACGTTATATCCACCGTTGACAAAAGCAATGGCGACTTCAGTTCCGAGGAATCCGGTAGCACCGCTTCAAAGTACAATGTCGTTGTATGAACAACCGTCGCCAGACATAAACGAGACCACGCACGTTACGACGACTAAACCTTTAGACATTTGTGTAGTACAATGCAATGAAATGGTGGGTTGTAGAGCAGGCTGAGGATGTTGGCTGAATGGTAGGGCATTTATACCCCATCCCGCTGCTCAACATGGTCTCACGACGCGGAAGCCTTGCCCGCTCGGCTGCGGCGCATGGCTCGGCTCGGTGACTCAAGCCATCTCCATCGCAACGTTGCGGCAAAGTCATCAACCAAATATTATACGAAAAGTGTTTCAGAGCCGTTTGCATTTGTCCGGTTCAAGGTAAGAGGTTTGAATGAGGGTGGTCGTTGTTTGGTTCAAGGGCCACAGCATAATAAGGTACCAGGTCACACGTGGCAACACAAGCTTGGCCCAGTGCGTGCCAGCAACACTGAATCGGTGGTCAGGTTTGGGCTCACTTATTCAGCATGGTTCTATCTGCCAAACACACACACGCTGCTGCAGATACTGCGCTTTGATCACTTTTACTCAGCAGACGCGTCCTAAAAATATCCAGCCGGACACGGCAATCCTGCGGTCGTTGCCAAACATATTTCAAGTTTACTCTGGTAGCATCTGGACCTTGCGAGCTTCCTCACGGCGTCTTTCGTCATCTCCGCTCCTACAATTAGCAATTGCTTTCAAGTATCCCGGACAAATTCCAATGGCGATATTCCTATCGATATATCGAGCCCGTGTCCTGGCGCGCACCCAAAAACTGGAGTTGAAGATATTTTTCAGACAATCGTTGTCCACAATGGTTTTGTTACTAGGAATGACCCGGGTAATTGGGGTGTTTCATCTCGGGCATCACGAATGTCTTCGGACAACTTTTGGACAACTTAGGCTGCGAAATTCTGCGGATAACGTTACACGACCGGCCAAGTGAACATGCATCTGCGACGGTTAGTAGTCAATGTTTACTTATCTGCAGCTTCGGCCACGCAGCGTGGGTCGTCACCCTTGAACTTCCGCATTTTAGCGTTGATCTTCAAATATTCGGGCCAAATTCCAATCGAGGTAGTTTTACCGACGTAGGACCCGGCTCGTGTAGGGACTCGGAAGTACTGTAGTGCCGACACTGCAAGATTTTGCATGCAATCAATAGGTGCGGCTGAAATACCTTCCGCACAGCCATTGAAGTGTTTCGAAGTTGTTTCTAAGATCGTCATGGGTGAACTGCGTGTTTCCTTTTCATGTCGCGAATCAGTTAGAGTCTTGGGATGACTGTGCAGAACTCGATGCCACGAAAATACAATGTGTCGCTGTGTCATTTCCTTTGATTATGTCGCGTTTACTTTACAAGAATTGTTTATTTTCTGAAGCCTGCTCTGGGGAACATTTAGTCATCGGAACGGAATGCAACACTGATGTCTGAATTGGTATTGATAATGTGCTTGCGGCCTTATAGTGTTCCAATCAGAATCACATTTCTGGGCCCGCTTGGCAAAGTGGTTATCGCGCTGCACTTGTAATGCAGAGGTCACTCGTTCAAATCGGGTAGTGGGCACTTCCAAAATATTTTGGCGGTATTTTTTCTGATGCATTACTCATCTTTACAGTTGACGCATTACATTACATCCGAGATGAAGCTTGAACGTGAAATAATTCGGTGTTGCCCCCGAAAACTCAGCGCTACTGAAGTTTAGTAAAAGAACTGGATAGAGGTTCAGTCGTTTCCTTTCAGTTTGGGAGGAGTGAATTCCTTCACGGCGTGTGCAAAAGGTAAATTCATAAATTCCCGCTACCTTCGGTAGTGGGCCTTAGAATGTAAAAATCGCAAATTTAGTCGCCGGTCTTAAAAGGAAGTGTTACCATATAAAGGCAAAATTGGTCAGCATACAAGCTCTCATTGGCCAGCAGGTGCATTAGTCATGGGGAAGTTTAGACACCGGTGTCACGAACGGAAGTTGCCCAAAACAGTACAGCAGCGAACAGGAGTGCATGTTTTCGCAGATGCTTAGATGTCGGACTTGAAGCTTGAGGTCTGGTGTATTGTCCGACAGCTGCAGGGACAATTCTTGTTGAATAGAATATATACCAAAGAAAAAATTAACGCCGACTACGCGGCAACGCCCGCTACCTGGGAGGCTACGTTCAAGCTGGTGCACCATAATGCAAACGACGAAGGAATAAACCCGAGAAGAACTTGAAGAAGACAGAGACTCAATCTTCAAATAGGAAACCTAGCTGCAGCTGGTTATGACGGCGCCGCCTCTGCTCGGCCGCGAGCTTCGCGCGCGCCTCAACATCGGCGGCCAGGAGGACTGTATTCCAGGACAGCGAGCCTTCCTTATGTCACCGTCGTGTTGAAGAAATAATGAAGAAAATAATACTTTTTGTGTCCGCGCCGCCTCTGCTCGGCCGCGAGCTTCGCACGCGCCTCGACATCGGCGCCCCAGGTGCAGGTTTTGAATGAGTGCAATGGCGAAATGCTGTCTTTAATACTGTAATATTCCTGTTTTTCTTTGGTACATATTCCATTCAACAAGAATTGTCCCTGCAGCTGTCGGACAATATGCTTTAAATCCTACATCTAAGCATTTTAGAGGCGGACCATGCGGTATTGTTTTGGCAACTTCCGTGGTGAAACACCGGTGTCTAAACTTCCCCATGACTAATGCACCTGCTGGCCAATGAGAGCTCATATGCTGACCAATTTTGCCTTTATATGGAAACACTTCCTTTTTAAGACCGGCGACTAAATTTGCGATTTTTGCATTCTAAGGCCCACTACCGAAGGTAGCGGGAAAAACAGGAATATTACAGTATTAAAGACAGCATTTTGCATTACGCTCATTCAAAACTACCTGTGGCGCCGATGTCGAGGCGCGTGCGAAGCTCGCGGCCGAGCAAAGGCGGCGCGGGCACAAAAAGTAAATATTATTTTCTTCAATATTTCTTCAACACGACGGTGAAATAAGGAAGGCTCGCTGTCCTGGAATACAGTCCACCTGGCCGCCGATGTCGAGGCGCGAGCGAAGCTCGCGGCCGAGCAGAGGCGGCTCATAACCAGCTAGCTTTCCGTTTCCTATTTGAAGATTGAGTCTCTTTCTTCTTCAAGTTCTTCTCGGTTTTATTCCTTCGTCGTTTGCATTATGGTGCACGAATAGCCTCCCAGGTAGCGGGCGTTGCCGCGTAGTCGGCGTTATAATTTAATATTAGGAAGATATATCAATAAACCCATGCATACAGAGGATTTCGGAACAAAAAATACCTCTGCCGTTCACGTTTTTCAAATATGTCCTTTTGTAAAATCGTCATTCCCCCGACCGGATTCAATTGCTCTTAAGAACTGAAAACTATCCATCCTACAAATGTGCGAGCTAATTGATAATATGAAAACATGAATTGGCGGCGGCGAGGAGCATTACAGGATTGGTTCGGCATAAACCTGTTCAGATAGTAAAGGCGAAATGCGCAGTGATGCCGCTGACACTGCAGTATCGTCGACATATCTTGGATCCCGTCATGCGATGGCATTGGCGGTGGATCTCAGGTGGAATTACCGTGAAAAATTGTATCAAAGTGTTACAATATGTACATCGACATAAATATATTTCCGAGCGAGTCCATAAGAGATCAATTGGGATATTTTTCAATGAATTTCTCCCATTTCTCAACCATTCCCCTCATCGGCAAAATACTTTCCCATCCGTCCATCTCTTCATAACATATGTCAAAAGGCAATCTCGCAATTTCAGAACGTCTGAAGCTAAAAATTTCTTCGTGTTCAACGCCACCTGCGTTGTGGTTTTTACTGTCAACTAATGCACCGAACAAGATTTGAGGTACTCACAAACACATTTGCCGACATTGATCCTACCCTTGTAATTGTCATGGTGCGAAGTACACGTTGACTCCAAATACTCGATTAAACCATCCAGTTCTGAGTGTAGCAGCTTCTCAATGCGACGGCAGTGGCTGACTTCCCAATCGCCAACCCAAGTAAATTGCAATGGTTGGCATTGAGTCCTCCAGTTTTGGAGCCGCTCCATTACATCCTTTGCAAACCCTACCTTCAGATGTACGAAGTCGTCAATTGGTGCGTCAGGATCTACGTTGTAGCGCAATAAGGTTATCACTTCAACGGATGACAATGATGGGATCGGATTGTACCAGTGATCTCGAAGACATAGATGAATCCAGGCGTAGCCTTTTTTGAGAATATTTGCGCCATTTTGGCACGAATATCAGCCTTTCCATCATCCGAGAAACACTGTGGAATAAAATCTTTCAGATAGTCAGTGGATTACATGGCACCGACGAAACCGGCAGTATATCACCGTCAAGATTGGAAGGGAGAGATATTCTCCGAGTCATTCTTCGGCGAACCTGTGAACGCCTGACTTTGTTCAAGGCATCTTCTCACATAGTAAGTCAACGGTTCTATAACATGGAAGTGCGGCTTACTCTTGTCAGCAACTGAGTGAGAAGAAGAACGCCGAGAATTTATATCTACCACGACGGGAGCAGCCGATTCTGATTCACTCTGGTGAAGATGATCTGAACAGTACCAAGGAGCCGGATAGGTACGCGTTCTTCTGCTGCACGGTCCCCCCCGTGTCTTGATCCCGCTACACTGCACATTATCTCTGATGATTGTTGTGGTTATGAGTTATGGCAGTTCGCGGTTCCAACGCGATGTCACGTACGGATTGTGATTCGTACAAAACCAAACATCCAATGTTTCTGTGCATTTTGAGCGATTCTTACATGGAAGTCCGTTGCTGGTCAACGAGCTGCATGGGCGACGAGAAGACTTTTGTACATCCGAAAAGGTAGATTTTGGAGCGTTTTGAGTTGAGATTGTATCAGTCAAACTGCAAAGGGGGTTGTCGTCTGGAGCCACGTCAGGTTCTGTGGGCAGCGCGGTGACGAGGGGAAGCTTGACTCCCGCATTCTTGCACCGAGATGGAGAAATGGAATTCATGTCTGAAATATTTCGGTTACACAGTAGGCGCATCCGTTCGAAAACAACTCTTACTCGTGCTCTGTATACGCTCGCTGCAGGTTCCGTCGTCCCGAGATTGTGCCAACGTGACAAAGGCAGACACTGGCTCGGTGAAATGACTGGGAGCGAGCGAGCGTAAATGATGTTCTTGACTGTCACAGTAAGCCTTGTTGTTCGGGGAATCTTTTCGGGTGATAAGTGAGGCGTATTATGATGTGGACGCGCAGCTTACTCTCGGCAGTAACTAAGCGGGGAATTGGTAGAGGGAAGTTTTCGTTTGGTACGGAATGAGCATTTGTTGAGCCCGCTTCGTTGCGGTAGAGATCTGAACAGTTCCGCGCATCTGCATAGTAAGACGGGCTTTCGAGCCATCGAACTCCATTTGACACTTCCTCCCCGCATTTTACATTATTTCTGGTGAGGATCGAGGTCGTTAGCAACCACAGTTTGGAGTTCAACGCTATGTTACGGACCGAGGGCCAGCGTGGTCCGACATATCCGATCGTACGTTACTTGCAGGACACGGTTGAAATTGGGGTCGAGGAATAACCTTTCCTCTGCAACTAATAGACGACCTTGATACAACTGAAAGGGCAGATTCTGGAGCGGGTGATACGCTTAGATTTGACGCTGGGCCAAGGGGACTACAGGGAGAGTCGGTGTCTGAAGTCGCATTGGTAGACTGCTGGGTGAGGTTGGAAAGATGGAACATGGTGTTCTTGGATGGCGGGGCGCTCTTTCAAACTTCAAGTTGAGAAATGGAATTGACGTCCCAAATGTTTGGATTACTAGTAGCAGTCGCATGTTCTGGCAATCCATATGAATACACCCTCGCACGCGTGCTTGTTGATCGTTCGATGCAGACATCTCGGGATTGTGCTGACTTAACAAAAGCGGGCACAGTCTCGACGAGATGATGCGGAGCAAGCAACGGTAGGAGGCGGTCTGGACAATCATTGCGAGCATGGCCAGTGCTGGATGTCAACTTCTGCGTATGCATGTATTTGGTGAGTTGGACGGGGAACGCAATATTGGCGCTGGAGGTGCAAAGGAGACCTATATCTCGGCAATGGGACAAGATTCGTTCGCCATAGAGCGATATGGAAGGGTAGAAATTCGAGTGGGTGAAGGTGGATGGATGCGGCGAGAGCGAAGAAGACGGGTACCATTCGATTCAGAATCTACATAGTGTATAAGTAACAATACAAGGTTAAACAAAAGGTAGCCTCACACTTGTTCTGGAGATCACTGTTGTAGCTTCTTGTGGGTCCACGGTGCAATCACCACAGCGACAGATCCGTTGATGGGAACCGAATGCCCACAATAGCACCGCATTGTCCCCAAAGAATGTTGCGAAACCCCAGGCTCAAAGGGTTTGGGGCGATAAATGAAGGCCGGTCAAAAGACGTTTCTGCAACCATCAGATCGAACATGGGGTCTTAGCAACGCCGTTGATGTCGTTTCATACAAAACAAGGATGCCAAAAGAGGATGGCGCTCACGGGGACACACAAACACATCATGTATCTCATCGGAAAAACTTGGATATTAACTCCG